CATCAGCTGGCTGGTCCCTTGGCTGCGTGTCCAGTAGCTGCGGTTGCTTCCAGCCCTGCAGGCAGGATAAGCCCTGTCATGTCTCTCCTTCCTGGGTGTGGGGGGCTTCATCCCCCAAATAAATGCTGGTTCAGTGCTGCTCCCATCGGTCCCAGTGTGTCTGTCACTGCAGACACCGAGCGGGGCTGCAGCTGCTTGGACCCAGGGGCTGGGGGCTAAGGGGAACGTCTCGGGTTTGAGGCAGTGTCCCTGTGTTTCTGAGGCTGCCATCCCCTGAGTGCCAGTGAGGACTGCCTGCAGGGCCTCTCCAGCAGACCTGATCCCATTCCCAGCCTGGCTTTGCATTGCTTTTCCTTGGCTTAGTCCCAGAGCTGCCCCCCGCACCGGGCTCCTGCTTTGGGAGCAGCACTTACCTGCCATTGCAGTGCATGTCCTTGCCCGTGGCAGGGGGTTGGAACCAGATGTGCTTTAAGGTCCCTTCCAACCCAAACCACTCTGTGATTCATTCTCTGTGCCTGTGCCCCTGGGAAGGGGACAGGGGATCACTCTGTGGAGCATGGAAGCTGCTCTGTGCTATTTTTGCTTGGCTGGAGTTGGATCCTGCCTCCTGCACAGGCACCTCTGGGGTTCTCTGAGACGCCCCTCTGCAGCGGGGTCGGCTGAGGACGGGCTCTCTGGAGGTGGTGAGGAGCCCTGCTGTCCCTGGGGAACATGGAGCAGATGTGGCCCTGCCTCGCAGGGCTCTGCTCGTGCCATGTGTGTTTATTTTGAGCTCCAGGCAGCCCTGGTGTGTGCACTGGCAGTGCTTCTCCAGCACACCGCTGGAGCACAGGATCCCGGGCACAAGGGAGCAGCATCAGCTGTGTTTGCTGAGGTTCATGCTGAGTCCAGGATGGGCTCACCCTGGATTTGAGACCTTCTCAGGACTCTCCCCATGGGACCCCCCCCAAATTGTGTCCTCCCTCTTAGCCTGCAGACGGACCCTGCCGAGCAAGGCCAGACCGTGAGTGCGGAATGTTTGGCCTCACTTGAATCTCCCTTTGTTAAGTGCCTGGGTGACACTTTGCTGTCTTTGGGATGAGCTAGCCGGCTCAGTGACACTTGGAGTCCTAGAGATGTCACTGCATGAGCCAGGTGTCCCTCCAATAACAGAGATGAGGCTTGCCCGAGGCAGGGAGGTGGCAGGGTGACAGAGACACATGGGACCCAATGGTGCTGCCGGGGAGCCCTGGCATGTGAAACCTTGCAGCCGTGAGACCCCTGATGCACAGGAGAGCCCTTTAGCCTGAAGAAAGTTGCTTTAAACCCCAGAGAATGCCCCGCATGTGGGAGCTGCAGGATCCTGTCTTGGCTGATCAAGGTAAAGCTCCAAAGCAAGTCCTGTGGGGCATTCAGAGAGCCCCTGCCCTGCTTTCCTGCACGGGCAGCAGCCTGGCTGCTGGAAGCTGGCATCCTGGAGGGATGGTTACCTAACAGTGCTCCATTCCCTGCAGCAGCTCGGGCTGGTGGGAACTTGCCTTGCTCAGGAGAGCATCCTTCAAGGCTGTGTCGCTGGTTTCAGTCATGGGGAAGGACCAAGGAGCTCCCTGCTGCGACCAGCACCAGAAAAGCCTCTGCCCAATTGCAAGCCAGTGGCTTCCTCAGGTGTGAGCACTGGAGGTTTCTCTGGGCAGCTGTTTCTTTACCTCAAAGCGATTTTTCAGGGACATATCGGTGGCTAAATATGGGCTTGTGGCCTCAAAACATGCAGCGGAGCTGGCGGTGAGCGGTGCAGAAGGGAGCTGGGGGTGGAGGGGGAGCTGGCAGCAACACGTCTTCTTGCAGCAGGGAGAAGAGCTGCTCTGGGGGTGGTTTGATCAGCGGCCTCTGCTTTGCAGGTGCATGGAAAAGAATACAACAAAGCCCACTTTCCCCTTTTTCCTGCCCTTTTTCCCTTCCTCATCTTTTTTTCAGACCTTCAGATTTCTTTCTCAGCCAGAATGATTAAATAGGGTGATTAAAAAGAAAGTTGCCACGCACACAACTCTGTCGTTGGCTTCGTTAGGATGTGCTGGTCAAAAGCTTGTACTGTTTGGTCTGGCAAGGTGCTCCCAGCCTTTGGAAATGATGCTGTTCCTCACTGGAGTCAGCCCCAGACCTTCTGCTAATTCCTGATGAAAGGGGAGCCAGGCAGGGATAAGAAGCCTCAGCTTTCTCCTGGGTTGGGAACTGGTTGGGAACCTGGGTTGAGACCCTGAGCTGGAGCAACTGTGCTCTGAGGCAGAATTGGTTACAGACTAATGAATTCCTTAGTTATTAATTACAGTGTGTGTGTGTTGAGGTGCTGCAGGAAGGGTTGTTGTGATTATAGAGTGCAGGACAAGAGCTGCTCCTCGGTGCAGACAGTTGGAATGTCAGCAGTGATGCACAAAGCGCTCCCATTACAGGGTGGTTTGATGCTTAATGTTCTTTCATTTAAAGGGTCTGAAAAATTAAACACTTTCCATCAGGAGGGTGTAGCAAAGCCCTCTCTACTGCCTCTCTCTCTGTGTGCTCTAAAAGCTGCTCAGTGTGAGTGCTGGGCAGCTGTGCTGAGAGTTTTGCACACTGAAGGTGAGAAATGGGTTTGGTTGTTCCCAAAGGGGGATGTCCCACTGCAGCCCTGGCACTGGGGGTTCTTGGTGGCTCCCCGGGAGGTGGGTTTTGGCTGGTGGCAGTGCTGGGTGCCCCTGGCTCTCTGCTCAGCAGTGAGGAGCCAGTGCTGCCTCACTAAACCCTCTCCTGTTTTCTCTTGCAGATCTTCCGGCGAGCTGACAAGAATGGTGAGTGCTGTGTTGTGCCACTGCTGGTCTGGGTGAAGCAGCACAGCCCATCCCTGCTGGGAGGTTTGGCTGCAAGAGTGAAGGAGGATAAGGGCAAGCAGCTCTCTGGCTGCAAGAAAAATGCTTTACTGCTTTGCCTGGAGCAGAGGGTTTGGGAAGTGGGCTCCCAATTCACTGTCCATGTAGGACAGAACCTTTCCCAAGCCCTTCTCCTAGCTGCACGCACACGATCTCTCATCTGCATTGCCAGCCCAGGGGCCACCAGGCTTCTGCTCCATCCCTTGCAGGGTTAATTCAGTCTCTGCACTCAGTCCAGGGTTTTACTGGTGGCCCTGGCATTTGAGAGGCTTTTCTACCTGGTTTACAATCTGGCACACAGACACAAGTCCAAAATCACAAGTCACTTCCCTGAGCCTTCCCACCCCCTCCTTGGCTCCTCTCCTTCATGGTAGCCTGTAGGCTCCAGGAGCTGCTTTTTTTGCAGATCAAAATGCAGCCCAGGAGCTGAAGTCCTCCTCAGAGGGGAAAGAAAAAGCTCATGAGTCAGTGGAGAGGTTTTCTTTCTATAAGAGCCTGATGCTGTCCTCACTGTGCCATTTGTAATGGACTCTTCTTGGACAGTCATTGAAGTACTGAGTGTCCACATCTCTTTTCTCTAAATGTTGCAGTGAGGTCTCTTGGAAGGGGCAGAAATTCCCACCTGGAACTCCAGCAGCAGTGGCCCTGCGTGCCAGCACTGCTGGGGTTTTGATGGGGACTGGTGGGACACGCTTTCAATGAGAGCTCTGCTCTAATTACTATGCACAACATGCCCGAGCGGCCCACACTCCGGGTGGAGAGGCTGCTGGGAGGATCACTGGGGCCTGGATGCTGCTTTCTGCAGATATATAATTATTCTTCCCTTTTATTTCCATGCAGATGATGGGAAGCTGTCATTTGAGGAGTTCAAGAACTATTTCGCTGATGGGATCCTGAGCTCAGAGGAGCTGTGGGAGTTATTCAGTGGCATTGACAGGCGTCACTCAGAGTAAGTACTGTGGTGGCACAGAGGAGGGGAGATGAAGGGGGATATAAAACTGCTTGCCTGTATGTGGAGGACATTTGGAGGAGGGTGTGATAAATAGGTTTATCTCACCCTGACTCTCTCTTGTAACACGCAGATGTTAAAACCCATTGAACACCAGCTACGAGCATTGGTGAGGAGGGAAACCAGGCGTTTTGAGAACAGTCGTTCTCAGATTCACTGCAGCTCTGTAAATACAAGCATCCATTTAAGATTACATTACATTAGTTTGGAAAATGTATTCCAGAAAAGCACAGCTCTCTAGAGCAGGTTGTGTCTGCAGGAGGAGCGTGTGATGGTGTGAGGACGATGCACAGACTGTGCAAAGTCACAGGCTTTGCCACTGCTAACACAGGGAACTGCTTTTCACTTACGTAAGAGCTGCTTTGCACCAGGAGTGGCTCTGTGAGTGTAACTGTGAATTTAGGCCAGCTTCTTTTAAAAAAAGAAACCCCCAACGAACAGGAGAAGTTGTTGCACTGAGCCCTGGTTTCCTCTTGCTGGTGCTATCTAGAGGAGTCTGTTGGGCTTGGCTGCGTTTCTCATCCCAGTCGTTTGGATATTGGCCTTGCTGGGGTCCCTCTGCCCAGCTGGGACTGTGACCCAGTGGGTTTTGGCACTGGAAGAAACTGGCTGTTGATGAATTGCCTGTCTGTTCAAATGGAAGGGTCTGTGCAGCGAGAAGGTGGCTGCAGCTTCCTCCTGGTCTTGGGTGGCAGGCTCAGCTCTGGCTCCTACCACTTCCCTGGCACACCAGGAAGCATCTCCTGCCCCTCTCTGATGCTTTTGTCCAGGGCAGTGTCTGAGCACGTCCCCGCCAGGGAGAGGTGGCTCAGAACGGCCATAGCTGCACACACTGGTTGCAGGGCGTTACAGGGAGCCAGGGCAGTGGCACAGAGGACCCCTGCCATGCCGAGGTGCCAGCAGCCACCAGGTGTCACCGGGCCACTGACAGCAGATACCCAGCGGTCCCTGGCTGCAAGTCCCCACATCTTCCACCCAGGGCTGGAGGAGTGGGGATGGTTCACTCTGCTGGGTGTTGGGTAGACTCATGTGCATGAGCACAGGGTGAGTGCAGGGGACAGCCTCAGTTGGAGCAGGTGGGAGTGGGATGGGGACTGGGAGGTGATAGCAGGGAATTGTATGTGATTTCTTCAGCATCATTCCTAGCTCGTGGAGGAGGAGGAGGATGAGGTGGGACCTCACAGGGAGGGAGCCTGGCACTCAGGCTCTTGTCTGGTAAGAGGCATCTCTGTCTGCAGAGCCACCTGCCTGATGGGACAAGGGACTGGGAAAGACAGTCCTCAGGGAACCATGACCCATCTGTCCCCAGGGGCTGCCCAGGGACTGCACAGCAGCAGGTGAAGGAAATCAAGCAGTGTTCAGTGCGTCGAGCCTCACATAGGTCTCTGGCTCTGTGTGTAGAGCTGGAGTTTCTGGCATTTGTTTTTGGGGTTGTGCAGAGGGACTTGCTCCTTTACAACCTCTGGTGTCTTGTAAGGGCTGTGCTGGTGTCCCATTGTCCCCCTGGCAGGGGGTGTTCAGCCCCTTGCCCCGGGCTGCCTGCTTGCCTGGCACTTGCAGAGCTGGCTGAAGTTTGCTGCCAGATTCAGGAGTTACTACCTGAGGTAATGCTCCAGTACTGCAAAGCTGGAAAGCAACTACAAGCTCTACAAGCAGATCTGGTGTGCTCCTTTCATGTCCCATAGCTTTTCTGATGATGGGAAAGTTTCACCCTTAATCCAGTGGGTGGATTTGGCACAGGGGTGCTGTGTTTATCAGGTCTAAGCTGAAACTTGTGTTTCTATGTCAGTGCCAACCTGATCCAAGCAGAGACAGTAACAGAGACCTTCATACCCAGGCGCTCTCTGTGTCTGGGTAACACAGCACTGCCCAGACACGTCCTGATCCTCACCCATCACTGCAGACCTGCAGCTGCTCCTCTGGGCCACAGAGCTGATGTCTGGGAAGATGAGTATTTCCAAGGTCTCACACATCACTTGTTCTCCTTCCAGAGAGCCCATGGCACCGCGCTCTCCTCCTCTCCCTGCCCTTCCCACCCCATCTTCGCTCCACCTCCCAGCCACCCAGTGCTCGGGTGGGATGCTGTGGCCTGTGCAGCAGGCACCTCGTGGGGTTGGGCTCCGGTTTTATGTTTCCCCACCAGGCTTTTTTGTTCTGCATTTCTGAAAAATGGTCTGTTTGGCTTCAAACTGTCTCCATGATCTAATTCTCTGATGTTTACGAATTCAGCTCTTCATTGCAGTTTGGTACCACAGCTAGGTCCATTGTGTAGTTTAGCTTGGCAGAGAGCTCTACACTGTTGCAGACAGATTCATCCGTCTGGAAAAGTGCATTTTCATCCACTGAAACATTGGGTGAGAAGACACAAATGTTTTTGAAGGGATGAAGAAGCCCCAGTGGTGCAGAAGCATCTTGGGAGATGCACAGTTTGCTCCCTGAGTGTCTGTGTCTGCCTGCAGCCCGGCCAGACGGGTGGCAGCAGAGCCCAAGGTCTCATGGAACCACTTAGCAGAGAGTCATAGAATAATTGAGTGATTTGGGCTGATGGTACCTTAAAGCTCATCCAGTTCCAACCCTTGCCACGGGCAGGGACACCTTCCACTAGAGCAGGTTGCTCCAAGCCCCTGT